TACAGTGACTTGCGATGGACAACCGATGTATTGAGTCAGTGCTGCTTATAATTTCAGAGAAGTCTGGTACCTAGTATGGGCAGTCTTCATACAATGTGTACAATACATCAAATGAAAATCAGAAAAAATCAGTACAAGAGTTCTTTCTGCTTAAATCACTTCACTGAATCCATATCTTCTTCTCAAGCCAGACACAAGATTTTATAACAATATTTATCCAAACGGCTGACGTTTCGGAAGTCTTGTCTTCCTCAGAGCCTGGAAAGATCAAGTTGTCCACAATGTAGTCAGTCAGACACCTCAGTTACTGTTTTAAAAAAAACCACTAGACCCAGATTTATTCCTATCAAGCACAAAATCAGCTTTTAAACATAATCGCTCTTTCTATAATAGGTTGAGGAAAAACTTCTGAGGAAAATGGCTTGTAAGTTTTTTGAGTGTCGGCCATTTCTTTGTGTTTTTGGGCTCATTCGAAAGCCCGTCTTCTCCCGCGTTGATTGGATGATTAGCTACTTATTTCAAGATGAGTTACAGCGAGTAAGATGATGACAATGGCTTTGAGTTCAAAAGTGAACGCATCAATCTGGCTCGATTCGAAGACACAGTTGGCAAAATTACTGTGTATATTATATACTAATCAACGCGGGAGAAGACGAGCTTCCAAATGAGCCCAAAAGCACAGGAAATGGCTGACACCCAAAAAAGTTACAAGCATTTTTTGAGAGCTTTTTCCCCAACTTACTAAGTCTTTCACTGAATTATTCAAGTGGAGACCATCTGTCAGAGATCACAGTGACTCGCATTGTACCTCACTCAAAAAAAAAGTTGTACACTGGATCACACAGTTGTCTTATATAGTGGATCATATCACTAGTAGGCATTCGGCGGTTCATATTTGGATTGGTGGTATTGATTCAAAATCTTTCACACTGATGTTTTGTGTTCTTGTGCAAGGATGGTGACTCCTGTGTCGAAATTCATTTCGTTATGCCTCTGTGTTTTGAGCGTGCCTAGCAGGGTGTTTGATTTAAGGTTACGTTTGTCAGCTGGGTGTTCTTCTATGCGAACATAAGTGAGACCTACTATTTTCGCCAAGTATTTTTCGCCGCACGCTTTACAATAGTTTAGGTAAGCTGTGTTTAGCTCATGCAATCACCGTTTCTGCCGTTAGAGCATATTTGACATTCTATCATTGTTCAGAGACGACCGTATAAGCGGTTGCAAACTAGTTGACATCTCAGAGTATTCGGTGGTATTTCAGAAATTGTCATCAATCTCTCTAAACCTGCTTTTTTCAAACAACATTCTATAGCTGAGCTTAACTCATTTGAGAAGAAAGGGAGGATGAATGAGACACTGCTTTCGTTGAAATTTTCGTTCGTTGGAGTGTTATTTCCTCTAAATGCAAACCGAGGCGCTGTAAATTGTAGCCATTAGAAGTGCTATTTACTTGAGCCAATTTCACGGATTCTACTCGTTGCTTTCTTGCAGTGGACATATGGCTGTTGGAGACACGTTATTTACTAACGCTTTCTCGTATGTGAGAGATGAACGGGTAGTAAGGTCGTTGCACGTTCAAGAAGGGAAGCCAATTATCTCTCGGTATCTTGCGGGTAAATTTTTATCACTCTGACTATTCATTCAGCAGTCTAAACATTTGTCCAATTCCTTTCGAGTAGAGCAGAAAACCAAACAATCATCTATATACCTACACTGAAGTAATGACCGGAGATCACTTACTGAGCGTTCCACTTTCAACATAAAGCCAATAGCCAGGCGAAGCGCCAGTTGCTGCTCATTGCCAACCCTTTCATTTTCACGAAATACTTCGCGAACCATTTGAGAACTGAACAATTCAGATATTCTTTTAAAAAACCATTAACTGCTGACGACAAGCCATACATGTTTATCGCTCCTGGTGCTGTATAAGAAGCTCGTGATTGGCTTGTAAAGCAGAGTCACTTAACACGTCATTGTAGAGGGTCGTCACGTCGAATGCTCCACTACGTGCGCTTTCTTGGGATGCGCTTTACGTAGACGGTCCAAGGACATTTGAGTGTTCATCACATGATCTGAATGTGTTATAGCAATTGGGAGTTAAAGTTAGAGTTAAAACCATGCTATCCTATCCGTCCATCAGCCTACACAACTGACGATGAGTATCATTAGACGTTAGATCATCAGTGAGTACTAACTTATGTGATTTTCAAGTAGGTAAGAATTTAAAATGTTGGTGAATAGCTTTTCAGTTGAGAAATGATAGGTGGTTTTAAACCTGCAGGTTTTGTCGTATAGACCCGTTCACTGTTCAGTTTGTGGCAGTACCTTTCAAATTTCTTTTCAGAAGATGACCGGCAAAGTGAAGCATCTCCAAAAAGCTCTTTTATTACTTCGATATTTACATCTCACGTATGCTATTCTGCACGTAGGTAATCTTGTCAAATATTTGCCGTGCGGGCTATACTGTACAAAGGTATTTATTTGGTTCTAGAGCTCTTTTCATGCCACACTATGTACATTCATCCGATAGATAATCAGTTTTAAGATCCAAATAGCAGGGAGAGTGAAAGTGACGCTCTATCCATTTGATATTTGCAAACAATATCGCGGGCGAGTTGATCTTGCAACGATACATCTAATTTGCGACACCTCAGAAATGCTTTTCTGTATAAGAAAATGGCTTCTAATACCTAATACACGTGTTATCCGTAATAAATGCTTATTTAATAAGAGAATCACTAATAGTGTTTAGGAGATGTCGAGCGTTAACATAGAAGTTTACTGCAGATACGATTTATCGTATCGTATAATTCGGAAATACGAATTCAGTACTCAGTATAACTTAGATTGTCATCAAAAGCTTCCGCAATTCGTTAAGCATTTCTTTCATATAGATCTGGAATTTTTGTTGGGCTGAGCGAGAACACATTAAGCAGCATTGCAATGGTACGGAAAGAAACATTACAAAACAGCTAAATGAAAATCTTAGTAAACTAATCTCTATTCAAAGCTTCACGAGGTAGGTATTTTTTTCCCGATTGATTGTCCTTCTTTTCGTCAATGGGTTTCCTTGGTTGCTTGTGGCTGACCGATCGTCAAATACGCCTTCTTCAGAGCCCGAACGTATTATTCATTGTAACGTTATTATATGACTATGACTGTGGAAAAATGAAATCTAGAGCATTATTAAGCTATAACTGATTCAGGGAAAACCACTCACCTTGTGGTCTAGTCTAGGGACTACCTATGTTGTTAGCGCAGTGTGGACGTATGAACCCGCCGCTCATGTCACTGATCAATTAGCGATAGATGTCAGCTGATACCAAGACTAGAAAATCAATCTGAGATAAGGTTTCCATGTGTTATGTTAAGGTACTCTCCCTTTTTATTCATTTTCTGGTTTCTGGAATTCATCCAGAGAACTTCAAAGGTTTTTCGCGCCGATGTTTTCGATTCGTTCTCCAGGATTTCAACTACTACCTCGAAGTCGTCATTTGTGCCCTTGTAACCTGTGTATGCCTAGAGATTTACTTAGGTCTTACTTTGTTTTCCCGTCTAGGTACTCTTCTATGCGAATGTAAAGTGGTCTGCCTGTTTCGCCAATATATTCGTCACCACATGTCTTACAAGGGATAAGGTATATTGTACCCACGCTCATGCAGTTCATTGTGCAGTTTCATGCAGTTCTCTACCGTTCGGACAAATAACGCAGTCCTTTGTATTGCATGGGCGGTCATACAGGCGGTTTCGAACTAATTGACGACGAAGTGCTTTAGGGGGAATTCTTGCAATTCCTACAGAATCTTCTAGCCCAGTGTTTCAGACACTTCTAATAATGATATTTACTTCGTCTATTGTAAAACAGTATAAGAGGTGCCCTATTGTTTAGGTGTGGCTCCCTTCGTTCTCATTGTGAGGCTTTTCGCTCCCTTTCGCAATAACTTGGCTCATGTTTTTTTTTGTACCCATTGAGAAATGGTTACTTGTCGCGTTTAGTCTAGCGATTCCCTTCTTTCATCATCTCCCGTAAAAAACACTTGAAGCTGTTTGATACATATTCGGATTAGTGCTTGTTTAGTATGTGAAGGATAAGAAGGAAGGAAGTGCACCAAGATGTTTTTTTTTGTTATTAAAAGCATTACATTTTTTGCTTCTATTCGATTATGAATGTACAAATGAAAAATCGACCTCATTAATCGGAGAGGAGATTTTGATAGAAATGCTAGTAACTATTCGAAAGCTGAGACTTCAGGCCACAGCCCCACGTCGCCGATTTTCAAGAAGGCTTTTTCTTGACGTTGCTACAGGAGGAGATTTCTTTCGTTTCAGACGTGCATATTTCAGCTTTTCAGAATATGGCGAGTCGACTTTGCAATGAAGTTGGCCGGTCAGTGCATGAAGTGTCCATAGAGGCACCACTTTACGATAGCCCATTTCTTTTGAATGGCGAGTGGATAGTGCTATGGCCTCTCCACGTATCTATCCAGCTATCAGAACAATCTTTCAACAAATCACCCCTTTAGCAATAATTTGATTTGAAACTGATCGAATAGAGCAGTAATTCCGAAGAAATTATGACTCAACCTATTAAATAAACAATACAAATATAGGAATGATATCGTCCTCATCCATTGCGGCTGCAAATGCGAAAGTTCAAGTCAGAAATTTCACAAGGGCGCGGTAAACACAGCGGATAGCGGTGCAGTGCAACGTGCGCGTTTTCGCGTTATTATCTAACTTCGGACAAACCAACCTGGCATGCCTGCGTGATTAGCAAGTTGATACTTAACTTGTCTTTGATAATCCTTATATAAGGTTGAAGAAATCCGAAATTGGTTGCAGTATTGACTGGTAGGAGGGGAGACGAGACGCTCCCGTTGAGCTAGTGTGATTACCGTTTTCGCCGATTTATTTGTTGCAGCACGCTTCAGAAGATGGAATCAATTGCTAACTTTGCTAGTTTTTATACCTAATAATGTAGAGTGGTGTGCGAAAACGTTTGCGTCAGCTGGGATTCGAGCCCACATTTCACTCTATCCGGGAGCGCGTGCTGAACCGTCGCACTACCGGCGCCGTTTTTGACACCACTCTCTCTACGCTACAGCGCGTTATCTGTCAACAACCACCTTCAACGGCTTGGCGAGGGTAGTCGTTGTCGACTTTGAGCCCACTTATGCCGACAGATATTGGATATTAATAATCAATCAGAATTCATCTTATTTGACCGCCACTCGCGGTGTTATGATGTTACAGTACACCCAATAATGTAGAATGGTGTGTAGAAACGCTTGCGCAGACGGGATTCGAACCCACATTTTATTCGTGGTAGTTTTTTCTAATGATTAGACTGAGGTTTTTGGCTGACGAAATTGCAAAAAGGCTGGTTTTCTAGCTAAAGCGCTTCGCGAACATGCTTAGACGAGACATATCTGACGAAACATCAGCTGCTTAGATGAACTGAATAATGATAACCTCGTGATTGACACAAAAACTTGAATCAATTTTTCTTTTTGCGCGAAGCAGGTGACGCAAAATTGATAGAAAAAGTTTTCTCAAAATTACGTGAAGATAGCTTCTCTGTAGCAAATGTCGCGACTCATTTGCTAAGGACAACTTGCAGTACAAAATGAAAGATTTTGCAATTAGTGCGAATCATGTAGGCCAATGCATACCGACACTGAGTCTATGTGAATCGCACTGCCTCGCGTGTGCAAGTATTGATGGTGGTGAATAACAGTCGCAGCTAAAGTCATCCATACATACACAGTAAAATCATTCGCAATTAGCTAATCATTCAAGTTATACAAGGAAACTTTTATAGCCAACCTCCCAACGGAGTTTTGCTATCTTTTCGGGAATTACATGATAATTTAGGCAGCGCAAATGGTCTACGAACTTAGAGAGCAAGTGGTATCGCAGAGGCTCGAGGACCTTACAATAACATTGTCAGTTGTCATAACAATGTCAAATGCAATAAAATGATCATATTCAATAACATGATCACTTACGATAACATCATCACTTACGATGACATCATCACTTACGATAACACCGTCAGCTACAATAACACCACTTGCCATAATACTGTCCTCGATACTCCTCATCAGTCGGTCACCCATATTGACTCACGCATATGTTCGCATAACGATATGTCGTGATCATATATATATATTATCATTTTAATAATGCATGTATATTATAGGTTGTTAGGTTCTACCACATTGTTTGGTACCACGCCATTGTTTGGTTCCATCCTATTGTTTGTTATAACCCGTATAAACCACTGAACCTTCACAATACATCACAAATCCACTGAACCACCACATAAATATAGTACATCGGCTACAAACCTTTGCTACACTTTACACTAGTCGCTTCTTCGCGTTTTTGTCGTCATCAATACTCATACTCAATTTCTTCAGTCTATGTTCGAAGAGTCGTCCATGAATCATTTGAATTCTGGAAGAAATTTTGTGTATAAGAGAAAAACCGATCACAACAAAGCAGATCTTGAGATGATCACACAACGACCTTCTAAAAATATACTACTGCTGTTCACCAAAACAGACCACGGGGTCGAAAATTTGCATTTATCAAAGCACTGAGTGCAATGAATGATCAGCAGCTAAACTGATGTCCCTTAAAACATATATATATATATATATATATATATATATATATATATATATATATATATATATACTGAGCGTTGTATAGAAAATAACGTCATGACTCTATTAAATGAATCAAGTGTGCTTCTGTATCAAAACATTAACAACCTGCGTGTCAAAATTCCTTTAAGATCGAGACCAGATTTCTCATCAAAAGAAGATATCTGAACGACCGTATTTCAAAAATATTAATAGGAGCATAAACCAGCAAGTTAAAATAGGACCTGCCAAGGAAGAATAGAACTTGTTCACTAAATGAAGCCTCCGCACTTCTATTGATTCTCTTCAAAAATCACTTCACATTCTAAACATAGGTGCCTGAGATGTCTTCAGAGACGACTACAAACAATATTAAACAGGAAACGAGCTAGTTAGGGCATGAACAAATAACAATAGAAAAGACTTGATAGAAATAAACTTTGAGGTCGCCATGGAAAAAAAAAACGTGCACGACACCCAATCAGCATGAACTGAAGCATGTTGTTGTCAAAAATACCAAATACCCGCTTATATCACCTAATGTCACTAACATCGAATGTGTCTTGGACAGTTCGCTCAGCCGTTTGCCTGACGTGTCATCCCTAGTATATAATACTATGTCGTTCCATAAGTTTTGGCACTACAACAATAGATACCCATTTTATAAACCAGAAGTATTTAAAATTGCATGCACTTGGAATCGTTCAGTTGCGAATTTTCTTGCGAACATCTTTGAGATCGAGCTGTCTTGGAAGCAAATTCGCTTTCTGGTCATGCACGAATGGCGCCTAGGAGAAAATGCTAATCACGAGGCGCCCAAAATTAATAGAGTTTGGGGCCTCAAGCTGTCACGGCTGCAGAAAGGAAGGCTAGAAAGTGGCTTGCGAAGTTCAAAACTGAAGAGGACAGTCTGGAAGATCAATCGCGCTCGGGCCGTCTACAGAAAGCTCCATGAATCTTGCGCGTCGCTTCACTAGCATTTTCCTCTACGTGCTATTTGTGCATGAGTAGCAAGCAGATTTCTTTTATGATCTCCATCGTTGAGCAGATATAGTCAAGCACCAAAGTGTTTACAACAAAATATGCAATCGAACGTTACCAAAATTAGGAAATTCTGACTGCTTCTTGTTAATTGATTTGATGTTCAATGCTTTAGTGTCAAAACTTATGAGACAACCTAATATCATTATGTTGGAACGGACGAAAATCACATTATAGTGGAGTTATAAATCACGGCTTCACAGAAAAGCAACAATATTTAGTCAGAATATACAGAATGGAATAAACCATGAAAACACCGCTTAGATTCATTTTATTAATTCTATGTACTATACCTCTCCATTTGACAGTTTTTTAAAGACCTTGGTCCAAGATTAAACTGATAAGGGTATACCATCGTTTGAGCCATTGAGATCTAAGTGCTATACAGGCACCTGTTTCGTCCTACCGGGACTCATTAGTAGCACCGTCCTCGGTTCAGGCAATCCCTTGAGGCTGTAGCCCTGAGGATTTCTTTCCTAACAGGTCGTTGTTGTGGCTTTCCTTAATTATAATCATCAGCTTACCCTGCAGAAAGTCGCTGCGGCTTTCCTTCATCATATTCATCAGATTATCTTATCAACAAACCTGCGCTGCGGCTCCCTTTACATCTTACTCAGCTGTGAACCTTTCCGGCAACTTTGTTTACCGACCAACTTGTGGAGCGGAGGAGAGCAGGGACGGAATTACAATGCTTTTTAAACATAGTTATTCAGTTGGACACTTTTCTATCGCTTACCACGAGAACTTTAGATAAAAACGAAGATTCTGATAGTACGGAAAATTCTCTACAAGGTGATATGCTTTCGTGCTTCCAGCATTCTTTACGCGTGACAAATGAAGGCAGAATGTGAGTATAAAATAAAATCTTAGTCTGGATCTTACAGTGCAATAAAAGGGCGTTTGAAAAACCGGCAAAGCGGAGTTGTAGCCAGATATTTAAGCTTTCTAATGATTACTAACACTCCTATGAAAATTTCCTGTCCAGGGAATAGGATCGCCTTGAAAATTTATGGCTGCCTAACAAATAAGTACCGTTTTTTTTCTGAATATTGTTGACTTGCTGGGCCTACTTCTCCGTCTCAAGAGTTTCAATCCTGTTTAGGAAGCTGTGATATATTCAACAATCAACAGACAATGCGAACAGTCAAAACGATTATCAAATGACTGGTTCCCACGAGGCGGGCCTATGCAAAACGTCAGCTGGACGAGAGGACTGAGAAAACCGTGATAAGTAATATTCGTGGATGTTGTGCGGCTCCATCAAAAGTGGGCATAGAAGTAGTTACCTAACAGCAAGCTCACTTCTGTTGAAACAAACTCTTGATCTATTGAGCAAAAAAATTTGTAGTTAAGATATCAATAATAGCTTCATTTTTAATCGTAAATGAGTTATTGCGCTCTGGCTTCAGCTCAAAATTTTCAAGCAGCTGCTATAATTTTTCAACCACAGTATTATATAATTGCTCACCAATTCATTTGCGTTATATGCCTCAAAAGACACTGGTTTCCTAAAGCACAAAGAGGATAAAACAGTGGTTATTTTAACATCCAGTCAGCATACCTCAGCTCAGCGTAGAGTGACTTATAGCGGCTGAGATGGTAATCAATCGAATGTGTAAAATACGCTTCCTTTGTTATTCATTCTTTCGGATCAAGATCGATATCACCAGCACAGTTACAACTTTTCATCTGTTCTATCCTGTTCTACTTTCTAAGGTCCAATAGGAAGTCTAAGAGATAGCAGTCACAAAAATTCACTAAGGAGGTTCTCTATGTGATGGATTAGGAACTACAGACACAGAGCATTGATAGCCGTTCACAGTTCTCAACACCTTATTGATAGTAGCTCATCAGTACATCTGAAATCAGGGAAATTAATACCACATACTGAATGCAGTCGAATGCAGTGCAACAAAGTAGGCACCTGTCGACATTCGAATAGTGCCTGGTAGGAGTCAGCTTAAATCTGCAGATATTTGTTAGACTTTCATAATTGCATAACTCTAAGTAAAGAGGAGAGTCCACATTAATCAACAAGCCTTGTAATATCGGTCTTGGTCACAATGCGGTTGATCTATTGGCCCTTCCGCGCTCTGGAAGAAACTCCAGATTAAACGACTGACTTCATTATTAGAAGATATTCTCTACACGTTCATGTGGTTTTTGTGCTTCCAGCTTGATACTTGAATGCACGGCTGTTGTTATTAACATAACTTCATTTTGAATTTGACAGCGTTACAAAAAGGAGCTTGGAAAAAACCGGCAACGTAACAGCGCTGATCAGAGATTTAGGCTTTTGAATGATTATTAACACTCTTATGAAAAGTTCTTGTCCATCGAATGGGATCGAAAATTCATTGGTCACCTTTCAACGGAAAAGGA